CTATTGTGAGCTCGTACAATGACGGCGCTAGCCCAAGAAATTTCCAGACCTCGGCGTTAGGTTTAGACCGGTAGGTCACCGATTCGCCGTCCTCGGTCTTCTCACAAGCCTCGCCTCGCATCAGTTTACGCCCTTTGGCGACAACGAACACATCAAACGATCGGTAATCCGATGGTCCGAGAGCAAACGCTATGACAGCTGAAAACAACTCGGTGAGAACAGCGGCACGAAAAACGAACAGACGTAAGCAAGCAGGTGCCCTTGACGACCAAAACCCGCCAAACGCACGGTGCGCCCTCTCTGCGTGGTCAAGTCTCCGCGGTTTCTCTGCAGCAAAACTGGCAGCGTAGTGCAGATGAGGGCCTAAATAACGTGCATCACAAGCTACTCTTCCAAAACTTGTGCTGCCACTCGTTGCCATATCAGCGGCTAGTTTTCGGGTTGCAAGGACGGACCCTTTGCCACGCAGAGATGTGATGGACATTTTTTTGCCTTCGTGCAGGAGAACCCCCGCACGCTGTGCCGTCTGATTCAGATCGTTGTTAACGGCTCTGGCTTGGGTCTGAAGGGCAGCAGGCGAAAGGGCAGCAACGCGGCGCGCTGTGTCATCAACGTACGTGGTGGTGGCTAGATCGATGGGGTTGCCTGTTACGACAGATGCACACACGAACGAACCATCCTCTGGTCGAACATGCTCATGCCAAGGTCCTACAACATCAGCCCAAAAAGCTCGATTGAACATGTCTGAAGCAACAGAAGACCCAGGAAAAACACCATCCCCCGGGACAAAATGCAACATGTTACTTCCGACCGCAAACGAACTGGTTGCCCTTTCGTGGTGCTGCCGCAACAATCGGCGGTCAAGCCGGTCAGGGCAGAAATCGATAATGCGGTTGAAAGCCTCTCTGCGGATGGATGGGAACGCATTGACAACATCATGCAACTCCAACGAACTGCACACGTTCAACGCACGAGCACGCCAACACAATATGTTCTGGATGGCTATGGCCTCTTCGCGGGACCGCCGTTTTATGCAGCCAAAGGCGTACCCCGGAACTGAGGTAAAAGGCTGACGGCGCCAAACCGCTTTGAAGAACGCCTTACTGACCGGACTAAGATTGTGCAAGACACGCCTACCTCCTACAGAAGATTTGCCGTTTTGTTTGTCAATGTGAAACGCATGTGAATGATGGAACTCAACGGGGGCACGCCTGTGGGCGACAATGCTAGCGAGAAGATCTTGTACACACCCAAGGAAAGGCCCAAACACCATCTGGTAGGCGTCTGGCCTCCGGGCGGCTGGGTGCACGAGTGGCCTACTATGTGTGCGGTCGAAGTCATACGGATTGAATTGGTAACTGCTTTCGCTACCAACTCCTGGTCGACCATGTTGGATTTGCCAATTCGGCATAAACAGCATGTCCCAGACTTCAGCTGGAACGTCTCCTGGCGGGGGTTGGCGCTTGCGGCGGGCTGTGTGGATGTTCCATGAAAGTGGCCGCAAATATTCCAACCCTCTGTTGTAATGCTCTGTGTTAATCAGATGCGCTGTTGGGGGTTGCACAGCAGAAAACATGCTTTCTTGATCAGAATAAAACTGCGCACTGTAGCCACCTTGTGGGGCGGTGGCAGCTAGGTGCGCCGTCCACTCATCCGATGATGGCATGCTTGCACTAGCAGCGTTGACGATTTTATTTTTGGGTCCTCGTTTACGGTTAGCAATGAGGCGAGCCATTCGCCAACACAGGGACGAGTCCCTAGAGTCCCAAGCGGCCTCGAGGGTGGCGATCCGATCATCCAGCAGTGCCGCACGGTGCTGTTTATCGGCACTCCTGACAATTCGAGTCGCTTTCATAAGCCGAACAACAGCATGCCACGCGTGACACAACATGGACATGTACTTGGAACAATCAAACTTAACACGCGTGCTTCGGGCGATTTCTGCATTCACTTGCCTGCGGTTCTTCAGAGCGGCCGTGCGCGCTTGTTTGGCAGCCGCCACAGGAGGATGCACATCATTAGCCCCAGATCCCTTCCCGAAAAACTCAACAGCAGATCGAAAGACAACGTCTTTTAGCTCTTTCCAGATGTCATCGGGTGATGTAGGGTAGCCGTGCACGCTGACCCGTCCTTCTAACCGGGTGTCGACATCCGCCAGAAATCGTTTTTTCACACTCGAGTTGGCTAAACGAGCCTGCGAAATGACATCGAAATCCCATTTGTGCAAAAACGGTCGCGACACATGACACAACGACAAATCAACGTGTATACAAACAGGTCTGTGGTCCGTGCGCGCAGCAGTTTTGACCACTTGCAACCTGTCTCCAAGCACCACGTCGACATAACAACCCCTGATTTTAGACAGATGAGACTGGGAGATACACACATAATCTATGCGGGATGTGGACGGCGTGAGACCATGCCAATAGGTCGGCCCAACGTCCCAGAATGTGTTAGACGCTGCCATGCCGAGCTCTTCCAAGAAACATCGGAAGGCCTGGCCCGCAGCGTTCTCTCTGTCCTGTTGGCAGCTCCCCACCGCAGGAGACACTACATGACTGGGTAGCGCGTCCTCTCTTGGGTAGCCCAACTGGGCATTGGCATCTGTGAGAACTACCAGGGTGGTGCGATTGGGCATTTGCGCAAGTGCCGTGCGAGCCCAATTCAACGTGCAATGGAAGATGTCTCGTTCGGTGCGTGGCCCTTGGGGGGGGAGGTATAAACACAAGACACAGAAATCGAAAGAGGCCCCGTGTTTGATGCGAACGAGCCCTGCACGGCCGCTGATTTTCGCAGCGGTGGGTGTGAGGACGGTGTGCCATGACGTTTCTGGGAACAACCTTTTATTCAGCAGAAGGCCAACACCAGCATGCCTGTTGCTGCCTGGACGGTACCCGAAAAATATGTACGAAAAGTTCCGAACTTGCGAATACGTAACCGGTGCATCGAAAGCCCTGGCTCTAGTGCCCTGCAAACCCACAATGTCGAACTGTGCGAAGCCTTTGGCCACATCGTCCAACCGGCCAGGTCCCAGCATCGAGAGGCAGTTGTAAGAAGAGATCCGGAGAGTCCTGTGGCGCTGCAGCGGTGGCCGGCACGACATGGCAAGCAGACACAAGGCATAGAGAAGGTGGAACATGATAGACCGCCCCGGTCACGTAGGGCGGGCGAGATTACTTGTTTGCCCGATTGTCGTCGTCAACGGACCGATCAGCCAGCCAGCCAACCAACCAGCGAGCCAATCAGCCAGCTACAACCGTCAAGCACAAGAGCTGTCGGCTCCGTTGGCCCATCGTCCCTCGGTTCCTGATTGCATATGTCGCCAGGTTATGCGAGACGGCAGTGGAGGAAACGAGGTACACCACACTCGAAGTGGAACGACCAGTGCGCGTGTCTGTCGCATCATCACTCTCTGAACATTTTGACCGGATCCCTGCTTGAGATAAGCTCTGCCTTCAATGAACAACCTTGGCATCCCAGAATATGTCAACTAGTTGGCAAACTATAGCAAATGTATGCAGAGCCTACCATCGTCTGCGTTCTTGGCAAAACCGATCAGACACTTGGTTGCTAGTGTCTGGGGATGGGCTGCACATCGTCTGTCGCTGCCACCAAATCGTCCATGCCGTGTGTTTGCGCCACATAGTGTTGAGGTTATGGACAAACCGGCAATCCCTGGGTAACTTCTTCCACGAAACAGCTTCAGTTAGGCGCATGGTGTGCACGCCTCCACTGAGTAAACATGTCCAAGTATTAACCCCCTTCAGGCCAGTACGCTCCCGATGATTCCACGGTGCATTGGAAACTGTTTGGCTGCACATGCTGACAGAGCTTCCCATGCACTTCTTATGACTGCTTCAACCGTCATCATCAACTTCGACCGTATATGATGCTGAAAGGTCGATTCGGTCTGTATGTGCAGACCCACAAGTCTCATTCATGAAATGGCGAGTCGAGCATCTATCCCCTTCTAATGCTGCAGTGGGTATGCAAAGATGGGGCTTTTGCAACGCCTCGCATGCATAGCCACACGTATAGTGCAGGACACTAGCCACCTCCAAGTACCTTCGCGACTGACGTGTCTACTCGAGGTACCCAAATACCGTGGTCCGCTGTGCATTGACCAGAGGCTGGATATCCTCGCGCAGAGGGCACGATATCATCAATAACTGTCCGCATTAACCTCTGGCGCCCTGGATGCTAACATCGCAATTGGTACTTTCCGCCATTTTCAAATGTATCTTCTGAGAACGAAGAAGTCATCTGAGGGTGCTGGAGAAGAAGGGGGAGGAGAAGGAGGAGGAGGAGGAAGAGGAAGACGATTGTGATGGTAATTGCAATGATGGGGGAGAACGTCTCCTCGCGAGGAGAAGGATGACCATCTCCTCGCCTTCCCCTCCCCCCCGCCCTCTTCCCCCTGGAGGAAGTGTCTGGAGGTCTCTCGAGGCACACAGCAAGGCCTAGAATGGCCAGAAGTTTCGATCCTCGAACCTCGCCCCTCCGCCTTCCCCGAAGCAAAGTGGACCCCTGAAGGTCTGGACCCCTTCTCTGGAACTGGTCTGTCATCTCGAGCTGTGGAACTGGTCTCCGGAACTGGTCTCGCTCGGACCGTCGAGGGTCTCCATGATTCGAAAACGGCCCCACGTCCTTCTGGCCACGTCTTCAACACGCGGGGGGTTGGGCGTGGGGGGGGTCAGGTAATTGACCCCCGGCCTGTTCCAGGATGCGCCTCCGACCGCAATTTCGAAGCGGATCCAGCCGTGGATGCGAGGACGCCCCGGGAGGCTCACACGAGAGCCAGAAGACGTCCCAAGCCCTTGATCCTCGAAGCTCGAACTGCGAGGCTTGCCATCGCTCAGACGTCCATTTCCCCGGTATTTTTCGCCTTCGTGCGTGCTTTTTCCCGCGGGGATCAAGGATGCTCCTCGAGGGCCCTCGCCGACGAAGAAGTAGACATGTCCGAGCGATGCCAAGGAAGGGGGGGCCCATGCCCTCGCCGCCAGGCACGACGCCGCCGGAGCGGATGGTGCTCTCGATCATGCCCCCGAGCTCGGAGCCCTCGCGCTGGCGCTCCGCGCGCAGGAGGTCGCCTGCTGCCCCGCCCCCCGCTCCCGGGGGCCGTCGAGGGAGGGAGGCAGGCAGCGAGGGCAGGGAGGGAGGCAGCGAGGGCAGGGAGGGGAGGCAGGCACCGAAAGAGAGGGAGGCAGGGAGCCATGCAGACTTGACACTCTTTGGACTCGGGTCGGGAAAGCCCTGGCGTCTCCTGCGCATCGCGTCGGATACGTCAGCACGGCTGGGCTCTCCGTGGATCGCGCTGGGCTCGTGCAATTTTTCACCGCGCCCGCCGCCGCTGTTCTCTCAGCGCTCCCCTCCTCATCTCGCCCCCTTCCCCTCTCCTTCAGCCGTGCCCTCCCTTCCCCCTCTCCCTCTCCCTCCCTCTCTATCGATGTCTCCCCCTCTCTCTGTGTCTCTGCCTGCCTGTCTGCCTGTCTGCCTGTCTCTGTCTGTCTGTCTGCCTGTCTGCGTGCCTGCCTGCCTGCCTGCCTGCCTGACTGCCTGTCTGCCTGCCTGACTGACTGTCTGTCTGTCTGTCTTGTCTCGTCTGTCTGTCTGCCTGCCTGCCTGTCTGTCTGCCTGTCTTTCTTCCGTCTGTCTGCCCGTCTGCCTGCCTGCCTGCCTGTCTCTCTCGCTGTCTCCCTCTCTCTCTCTGTCTCTCCCTCCCTCTCTCTCTCTCTCCCTCTCTCCCTCTGTCTCCCTCTCTCTCTCCCCCTCTGTCTCCCTCTCTCCCTCCTTCTCTCCCGCAGGCGGGCCCCCGTGGGGTCTGATCACCGCCGACCGCGGCCTTTTCCAGCCGCGGACCCCCCTCGTCCGCGTCACAGGGGGAGGTCATCCGACCATCCCCGTTCAGCAGGTGGCGCCGCCCGCTCTGTGAGGACTCCCCCCATCCCAACGTCCGACCTTCCCTTCTCTTCCGCCTGCGGGCTGGTGCGAGGACCCCCGCGCCTGTTGGCGCCGCTGGGGGAACAGTCTGCAGAACACTGCGGACAGGCGCTGGAAGTGACCCGCCGAGTGCAAGACGACGACACACGATAACAAGTCGTGCCGCCCTCCTCTCTCCGCTCCCCCTCCCCTCTCCCCTGCTGCTGCTGCTCCCCTTCCTCCTCCATTTTCCTCCTGTTCCTCCTGCTCTCGCCCTGGAGTTTCATACATGCTTCACTCCCATGGTTGCCTTCTCCTCGAGAAGCCTGCGCGGACTGTCGACCCGATCCGATCTGATCCTGATCCCTCCCTCTTTCTGCTCTCCCCTTTACAAGTGCACATTCTGAATACTGCTGCCCTCTCTTCCATGACACTGTCCTTTCGTGGCGCGGCCTTTCCCGCGTATGTGCTTTTCACGCATAATTCCAACGTGTGTCTGTCATGGATGTCGTTCCTGACGACACGTTTTTGGTGTTTCAAGATGGTCATCTCGCTGCAGCGTTGGCCTCATATGACAAATCCTTGCAGACATCGGATCGCCCTTGCTCATTCAAAATGGTGTTGTTGCCGAGCGATGGCCTTGCTCTGATTCGCCAGGGAGTTTCGGAGTGTCTTTGCTCATTCAGGATGGTGCTCCCGCTGCAACGTTGGCCCCCCATTTCAGGATCGACGTTGTGCTGCCTTCTTTCAGAATGGATCCAACTCCTTCCTCGTCGTTGCCGTCCCCCTCCTTCTCCCTCCTCCACCTTCCCCTGCCTGGTCCTCCTGCTCCTCTTGCTCCTCCTACTCGTCCTGCTGCTGCTGCTGCTCCTGCTGCTCTTCCTCCTTCCTCTTCCTCCTCATCCTCCTGCTCCTCCGCCACCTCCTCCTTCTTCTTCTTTTTCTTCTTCTTATTCGTCTTCTTCTTCTCCTTATCCTTCTCCTCCTCATCCTCTTCCTCCTTCTCCTCCCCATGTAGAATGCAAATCCCCCAATTCTGATTGCGCATCACACGATGCGGTCATTTTGGGAATCCGGGTCCCCCAGGACAACCCAGTCGGCGAATAGAGAAGGATATAGCGCAATGGGTGGGGATGGGCGAGAGAGGTAGGATGCCAGATATGGCGCGAGCGCACCTGTCTTGCCGCTCCACCACTCTCCTCTCCCATGATGCTGGCATTGCTGCGCCTCCTCTTCCTTTTTCTCCTCCTCTTCCTCCTCCTGCTCCTCCTGCTCCCCCCCCCACTCCTTCCACGCACGAAGGCGGGCTACCCACACGTCCCGACACACTTCTACACCCTCTGAGCTGCAGCAACAGCGAGGCGATGCTAGCGTGCGACGGCACCACACCCCGGCGATTCGGCTCAGCCGGCTGGCGCTGCCCTCCCCCCCCGACGTGACTCCCTGCCCGGCCGGCGCTGAGGTGCGTGTAGCCGAGCTCCCGCACGACTCGCTCGCACTGCGTGCCCTTGCCGCTGCCTGGCCCGCCGAGGATGAAAGCCACGAGTGGGCCGGCACCACCCGACGCCTGAGCCGCTCGGGGGTCGTCGTTGCCGTCGTCGTCTACGCCGTTGCTTCCGCCGCCGTTGTCGTCGTCGTCGTCGTCGTCGTCGTCGTCGTCGTCGTCGTGATCGTCGTCGTCGTCGACGACGTCGTCGTCGTTGTCGCCGAAGTTCATCGGGGTTGAAGGACAGGGAGGAGGATGGAGGAGAAGGAGAAGGAGGAGCACGAGAAGGAGGAGGATGAGGATGAGGACGGGGAGGAGGAGGGGGAGAGGGAGGAACAGGAGGAGGAGGAGGAGGAGGAGGAGGAGGAGGAGGAGGAGGAGGAGGAGGAGGAGGAGGAGGAGAGAGGAGGAGGAGGAAGGAGAGGAGGGAAGGGGAGAGGAGGGAGAGGAAGGAGGCGAGGGAAGGAGGGAGGAGGGAGGAGGGGGAGGAGGGAGGAGGGAGGAGGAAGCAAGGAGGAGGGAGGGGGAACCCGGAATGACCTGAGAGAGAGGAGGGAGGAGGGAGGAGGGAGGAGAGGAGGAGGGAGGAGGAGGAGGGAAGGAGGAGGGGAGGGAGGAGGAGAGGGAGGAGGGAGGAGGAGAGGGAGGGAGGAGGAGGAGGAGGCAGGAGGCGGGAGGTAGGAGAGAGGAGGGATGAGGGATGAGGGATGAGGGAGGAAGGAGGAAGGAGGAAGGGGGACCAGGACGAGAACGAGGAGGAGGACCAGTGTAAACCCAAGAGTCATCAACGATGCTGGAATTAACCCTCCCTCCAAGCGCCCTCTTCATAGGCCTCTACAACGGTTCATTTCCATTGAGGGAACTGCCTCGTTGGAAGACAACCGTTTGAAGAAGTTGAAGCATGTCAAAACTGCCACGGATCAACCTGACTGCTGCGTCCTGGCGATCTGGAATCGCACCGCGGACCAACATCATAACTGTTGCACCCGCATCATCCCGAATCCTTCCAAAACACCATTTCTGGTACGTTGATCATGGGAATCCGTGACGCTCTTGCAACATTTGAAACGAATGTGCGCGGCGCTAAAGCGAGAACCACATGTTGAAAACCACCCGCCCTCAATCCGTGAAGCTCTTGCAAGATTTAAAAGCGAATGTGCGCGGCGCTAAGGTGAGAACCACATGTTGAAAACCACCCGCCCTCAATCCGTGAAACTCTTGCAAGTTTTTAAATCGAGTGTGCGCGGCGCTAAAGCGAGGGCCACATTTTGAAAACGACCCGCCCTCCATCTGTGAAACTGTTGTCATTTTGTAAGCTTCAGAGTCAGAAATGGTGAGGCAATCTCAGGCGAAACGCCTGGCCCGCCCTAAAAATTGGCCTCGTGGTGCGACAAGGGAAAATTCCCTAATCAGAGCTTGCCTCTGCAGGGGTCCTAGCGGATTCATATGATTAGGTTAAATTTGCCGCCGATTTCCGCCGCACGCCCGGGTGCCCGGGTGCCCGGGTGCCCAGGTGCCCGGTAGCTCTATATAGCCTCATAGCCAAATAGCCCTGTAGCCCTATAGCCCTAATAGCCCTGTAGCCTTATAGCCCAATAGCCCTAAAGCCTTATGGCCCTGTAGCCCTATAGCCCTACAGCCCCATAACCCTATAGCCCAGTAGCCCTATAGCCCTATGGCCCTGTAGCCCTGTAGCCCTATAGCCTTCTAGTCCTATAGCCTTATAGCCCCATAGCCCTAAAACCCTAAAACGATCATGATTGGGGCTTTTCTCCGGAATCATATTTTAAAAGGAAACGTGGATGAGGAGGAGGAGGCGGAGGCGGAGGCGGAGGAGCAGGAGGAGGAGGAGAAGGAGGAGAAGGAGGAGGACGAAGGGGGGGGGGAGGAGGGACAGAATGGGGAAGAGGAGGAGGAGGTTGAGGAATGCGAGGTGAATAAGGAGGAGAACACTGGGGAAGGTGGACGGAGTACAATCAAGGAGGAAGAGGAGGAGTTGAAGGAGGAGGCGGAGGATGAGGATGAGGAGGAAAAGGTGGATGAGAGCAATGACGAATAGGGACAGTGAGGAACGCAGGGCACGGCAACAACACTCAATATCGACAATAGCCCCCCCCTCTCACAATTGGCCCTATCCAGAGCAGAATTCGGTCGGCCAACCTCCACTCCAACACGATACCTCATGATATGATTTCGCAACGGTCGATCTGTGCAACCTTTGTCTCTAAGACTCCTGCGCGACCTCTCTTGGACTGCTTTGGGATCGTTGCAGAATTTTCATGGTGTTCGATGGCTTCGTTTGTGGAACGTCTGGAGATCGAAAAACAATACACCCTTGGCGTCAGAGGACTCAAACCATCTTTTGAGCATGCGAAAGGGGAACGCATCAATATAACTCCCATGCTACTAACCATTTACCATGCCCATGGGCCGGACTGGGCCGGATCCGGCCCGTGCATTTACCCATGTGGTTTCGCATGTTCTACGCGCCCGACGTCCATGCTACCAATGAAATAGCACCGCGCGGTGGCCCGCAGGATCTGGCCCCCGCGCGATCCCTTGTAAACGATACTGTGGTGGAGGCCACGTCAACCCTTCCTGTGAAATAGTGCATCTCGGCGCGATGCCCCGTCTGGCCCCGCCACTCTCCCGTTGCGAATCACATTCCGCGGCGAACATTTTGCTCCATGTTGCGAGCCCCGTTGTGAAAAAGCGACGCGGATCACCGCGCACAAGACGAGCCACTTCCCAAACTGTTGTTTCTAAACGGCACTCGAACGTCGAACTCTTGAAGCACATATGCGCGTGGGCACAATGCCTCGACGCCGGCGCTGCTCGCAGGGGGACGCGATGGCTTTGGGTCCCTCTGGGGTCCCAGATATGGCCGAAGTCGAATTGTTCCCCCAAAGCGCCGACCACATCACCCCCAACACAATGGAGCTCGACCGAAATGTCGGCCCGCGCCCATATGGAACGACCAACGGATGTCCCGCTGCATTTTTTGTCCTCTCATACTTTCCGCGCGCGCGCCAGTGCTCACTGGCCCCATTTTCAAGATGCGCGCATTAGTTTGTCAGCGTGGTCGAGATGCTCGAATCAGATTGTCGACTTGCACGGCTTTCCGAACGAACAAGTTCAGATCCTCAACAAGTTCCAACCGCTCACCTATTTCACATCGCTGCATCTGGCATGTCGGAGAGAGCTTGAGGATGGTGGGCCACGGGGATATTAACGAGTAAAGGTTGATGATAAGGTGGGCGGATGGGAAGGATCTCGCACCACACAGGACTTCCAGTATTAGGACGCTGTTCTATATGAAGTGCTCTATTGATCATACTAAACCACGAGAGTCCATACGGGAGACCGTGCGGGAGACCATACATGATAGGCGTCGAGCGAGGGGGGGAATTGAGAAGGGGCGGGCCTCCTCAGAAGGCTTGGAAGCCTCTGGGCCTCCTGAGAAACTTTCGAAGCCTTCCCCGAGGACACAAACCAAAAACTTCTCAGAAGGCGCGAGGGCTTCCGAGAAGCCCCGCCGCCTTCTGAGAAGGCCTTCTCCTTCGCACTTCCCCCCTCGCTCGCCGCTGACGGGAGACCAGAGACGACGACCAGGGACCACGAGCCACGACCATCGGGGGCGGCCAAGAGGGGGGCGTCCAAGATGGGGGGGCGCAAATCATGGCCGTCGGCATGTGCGCGGCCCAGGGGGGGCGCTGGGGACGTATTGAAATGAGAAGAGGCGCCGTGAAATCTGTGGAAACATCATGGCCCCCGCCATGATATCCACCCCCACCTAGCCATCACCCTCTCTTGGCCGCCCCCGAGACCAGGGACCACGAGCAACGACCAGAGACCACAACCAGAGACTCACCGCCACGACCTGAAGAGCGCGAGCCAAGACCGGAGATCACGGCCGGAGACCACAAGCCACCCGCGTTGAATCGCGCGGGCCACGCGCTGGCCTTGGAAGACTCATTCCAGACTCTCACAAGCCAAATGTTCAGGAAACAACGCTTTGGTGGGAATTGGTAGTGCCGTCCCTTCTGTCTCGTGTGCATTTCCAACTGCGGACCACGCGCTGGCCTTAGAATACTCATTCGGGCGACGATCGAAAACGGGTCTTGCGCGAGATGACGTGGCGACCTTGGGCCGCGGCTTACGCGGCCCGCCCGCGCGGCAGGCCGCAGTGGAGACGAGGGCGCCTACGCGCGACCTTGCGCGGGCAGCTTGCGCGCCAATGTCGGCGCAGTCGAACCCGTTTTTTTGCGTCGCTCATTTCAGACTCTCACAAGCCAACTGTTCAAGAAACAACACTTTGATGAACATTGGTGGTGCCGTCCCTTTTCTCTCGTGTGCATGTCCAGCTGCGAGCATGCTCATCCCATGCACGTCTCAAATGTGACGGGGATCCGCCATGTCAGGGACATCCCAGAAAGGCTGGACGTTCGCTGTTTGCGTCGCCCATAGTTTCTTCTACTTCGCACCAAAACGCCAGCTCTGGCAGCTGCTCGTGGGACGCTCATTCTCATAATTGAGCAAACCCCTTCCGCTGAATATCCCCTTCCCTCCCAATCGTCCTGCCCTCCTTACGCGTCTTTTATTGTATCTCAATCTACCTTACGTTGCCATGTCTCCGGGCGAAAATTGTCACTTATTGCGATAGTAGCCGACTGCGACTCTGCGCAGTGTACAAGGTTGACCGCCTGTCGCATGTTTCAGGTGCAACGAATCCAAACGTTGTAAATTTAAACCGTATCGCCGACAAGAGTCACTGCTGCGTTTGCGACAGGATCCCCCCCCACACACACGCAAATCCGCCGACCCTGTCGGCGTGTGCGAGGGGCTTGGCTGTTCGAGTCGTCGTCTCCGTCGGTCGTCGCCTCCGTCGTCCCCTTTCCCTGCAGCTTCCTTCTCAAGCTCGTGAGCGAGAGAAAAATCTCCTAAGCTCGTGAGTCTAGCAGTGTCGTAATCGAGTCGAAGGGAAGCCCCTTCCCTTTGATCCCTTCCCCAGGGGGGGGGGGGTCCCGGGGGGGTGGGGGGGCAGATTCGTTTTTCCTCGGGCGGCCTAGAAACCTCGAAAACACTCCAAATGAGGTCCGAATGCCCAAGATGGCCCCCGAGACGGCCCAAGAGGGCCCCGAGTCGCCCAAAGATCGGCCGAAAACGCCCAAGATAGCCCCAAGACCGTCCAAGAAGCCTCCAAGACGTCCCAGGCCCCCTCCAAGAGACCCCCAGGAAGCCCCAAGAGGCCCCCACGAGGCTTCCAAGCGGCCCCTAAGAGCTTCCCAAGAGGCCCACAAACTACCCCCAAGAGGCCCCCAAGAGCGCTCGTCGTCGTCGTCGTCGTCGTCGTCGTCGTCGTCGTCGTCGTCGCCATTCAGGGTCGGCGGCACCGGCCGTAAGGCCTTCGCAATAGCAGTACCACTCAACCTTTCGGGCGTCGACCCTACCATGCAGTGAGGCCAGCAGCACGTGCGTAGCGTCTGTGAGGTGGCTCAGCGCCGCAGCCGATGGTAAGGCTTCGGGTTGCGCACAGACAGCCCCCACTGGCAGTCCCAGCTGGCCTCCACAGGCCTCCCGAGCAGTTCCAGCTGGCCTCAACAGGCCCCCCCGAGTAGTAAGTGGCGGTCTCAGCACCCTGGTACTGCCGGAGCACCAGCCCCTGACCCAGACCCGGGGTCAGCGCCCCTCGAACGGGGACTCCACTATTGTAACAGGTACTTTGGCCAGCGACCCGGCGAACCCCATCCTCCCCGATGTGGGGGCAACGCTGCAATGCCAGAAAGAGGCCTCGAATGGCCAACTTTCGGCAATCTTCCACAATATATCTTCAACACGGGGTCCCCAGAAGTCTCGACCCATTCCCCAGGAGCGGTTTTTCATCTTGAGTCGTTCTTGACGGTCCCGGGGCCTGCGGGGGCCCCGAGAGGCCGAAAACACTGCGAACATCTCTGTCTTGATTTTTTCAATGCGTTGGATCTCCAAGGGTGCCCGCTGCGGTGCCGTGGAAGGGGGGGGACGAACCTCTGCCAGCCGTTCCCGGCCGCCTCCGCGCTTGCCGGACCACGTCGCGTCGTCGCCCCGGTGCTGCCTCTGGCGGCGCCCCTCTCGGGCGCTCCACGCCCCTCCCCCGGGGTTGGGGTGTGGGGGCCGCCCCGGGCTGCTCGGGAGGCCCCTGGAGGCCTGCTGAGGCATCTTTTTGTGGTTGCTCCTCTTTTTCGTTTTTATTGTTTTGTTGTTTGTTGCTTTTGTCTTCTTGTCTTTCTCTTCCCCGCACACAGGGACGGTGAGGCCAGCTGAGACTGTCTGGGGGGGCCGTCTGTGCCCAACCCGAAGCCTTGCCGCGGGTTCGTGTCGTGTCGACCCCGGCTTTTTTCGTGTTTTTTGTTTGTTTGTTCCCCCCTCACACACGGAGGCGTTGCCCAAAGAAAAAAACGGTCTTGCGTAACATTTCCGCGGCGCGAGCTCAAGGGGAAAAAAGGTCTTCAGTAACATTTAGTCGTGTCGACACCATCGTTGGTTCCTGACACCGAGGGGATCGTTCAACCTTGAACGATCGACCGTCTCCGAAACGTCAGATCGTTCGACATCGACCGATTCTGGGTCGCTGGCGGCGTTCAACATGGAACGCCGGCAGTGGGGTCGCCGCTTCGTCGACACGACACGAACATACCGTACCAAGGTGGCTCGCCAACGTCGCGGCCAGCATCTGGACATGCTGCGAAAGCCTGGGGCCAGCTGCGCAAGCCTTGGCGGCTGCCCTGGCTGCCACCGTGGTGGCCGTCCTGCCCTGCGCCGCTGCTGCTGCCTTAGTGGGTGGGCGGTGGACCTACATCCTTCTCCACCCTCCTATATCCTCCTCCCTCCATCCTCCTCCCTCCATTCCCGTCTCCCCCTCCTCATTTCCCCTTCCCTTCTCCTTCTGTTCCTCCTCCTCCTCCTCCTCCTCCTCGTCCTCTTCCCCCCCTCCTCATTATGCCACCCTCCTTCGCTTCCCTCCCCATCTTCTTCATCCCTGGTCCCCCTCCCCCTTCTCCTCCTCCTCCTCCTCCTCCTCCTCCTCCTCCTCCAGCGACGACGACGCGGAGGATGATGACCCAGCGTTGCAGATGTGTCAATGTCGGGGATCCTGACCCTACATTGCGGGCGATAAAGCCCTCTACACTCCGATAAAGGAAATTGCCAAAGTAAATGTGTGCCCCAATCTCGGGGCACAGTGTGGGACAAAGGGGGCAGGAGGAGGACGAGGACGAGAGAGGAGGAGCAGAGGCGGAAAGGCCGTCGCGGAGGAGGAGAAGGAGGATGAAGAGGGGGAGGTGGGAGGAGGAGGATGACGAGGACGAGGAGGAGGATGAGGAGCAGAGGAGGATGTTGACGAGGATGACGAGGATGATGAAGAGGATGATGATGAGGCTGATGATGATGATGATGATGATGAGGAGGAGGAGGAGGAGGAGCAGGAGGAGCAGGAGGAGACGCCACGCCACGCCGACGAGCACGCTTCTGCATGCGCGCGCCAGCGGCCACAGACGCACCAAGACGCACGCGCGCACTCACGTGCAGGCCTCGCGTGCGTGCCTGCGGCCCCTAGCGGCTCCATGGCTTTCCGCTCTGGAGGAGGGTGGCAAGGAGGAGGAAGGAAGATGACCCGGACACGCGTTTTTATTTTTGTATACGGGGCACTCCGGAAGCCCCGCACCGCGCCCCAGGGAGGGGTCTTCCTCCCGGAGCGTTCTCCCTAACGGCCCCCTGGGGCCCGGCGATGGCACATCCGAAGGCCGAAAACCAAGAACCGCAACCCACCCGTCGTGTGTTTTTGTATCGCGGCGCGACGGGGTCCTCCTCGTCCTCCTGGTCCTCCTGCTCCTCCTCCTCGTCGCTTTCCTTCTCATCTATCCCTTTTCCTTATACATAACTCCTCCGCGTCGCACCCCCAGACGTGTCGGTGGTCTGGGGAAACGAAGGAAGGAGGATGAGGAAGGAGGGGCAGAGGAAGATCAGCCTGCACACACAAATCCTCAACGGCGCTAGCAAGACGACGCTGCCGACGACGACGACAACAACAACGACGTATCGACGTTGACGATGAGTAGAGGAATGACAAACTGCATAAGCATACACTTTCGGAGGTCCACGCGGATTTCTCGGATCGGTGCTGGACCACCCTCCCTGGCGCGCAAAGCGCGCCAGGGGCAGCGCCGGAGGCGCCGCCAAGGGGCTCCAGAGCAGATCTGAGAAACTCGCGCGAAGCTCCACACGTTTATGGTGATGAGTTGTTGTTCCTCTTCGTCTTCAAAGGTTGCAGGACAATCCTTCTCCTCGACGTCGTCGTTGTCCTCCTCCTCCGCCTCCTCCTCCTTGTGCTCCTCTTCCTCCTCCTCCCCCTCCTCCGCCTCCTTCTTCTCCTCCTACTCCTCCTCTCTGCGCCTCCTCCCCCTTCTCCTCCTCTTTCTCCCTCTCCTCCTCCCCCTCCTCCCCCTCCTCCTCCTCCTCCTCCTCCTTCTTCTCCTCCTACTCCTCCTCTCTGCGCCTCCCTCCTCCCCTTCTCCTCCTCTTTCTCCTCTCCTCCTCCCCCCTCTCCTCCTCCTCCTCCTCCTCCTCCTCCTCCTCCTCCTCCTCCTCCTCCTCCTCCTCCTCCTCCCCCTCCTTGCTCCTCTTCTCCCTCCTCCTCCTCTGGCCGAGCCACGCGCCCGAACGGGCTTCTTATTCCTCCCTCGAAGGCGGGAAAGGGGAAGGGACGACCACGACCCCACGAGACCAACGACAACGAATATCCACCTGTCGTATTTTTTCTCACAGCGCGAGGGGGCCTGGGGCAGAAGCAGAAGGAAGGACGAGGACGGAGGGGCAGAGGAATAACGGCCTGGACACACATAACTTTTCATCGACGGCGACGCGACGACAACGAACGACGAAGAGCGACGGCAAACGACGGACGATGAGTCGGCGACGGCGACGGCGACGACGTATCGACGTCGACGACGGCGGCCGAACCGCGCGAGCGCGCAGCGCGCTGGTGCTGCCGCAGCTGCGGCACGGGCGCGCGGCGCCCCGCGGAGGGTCGGCTCCAGCAAGCGGCGGCAGGTGAGGCATGACCTCTTTTCAATCTGGCACGCGTGGCCCCCCAGGACCCTGCCACAGCCTGGCAGTTGCCTTGCTCGGCTGAATTTTCTGGGCCAGTATGCTCTGGAACGCAATGGGTTCTCTTTTTCTGGTCCCCGAGGGGTCGCTCCCCACCACCGCGTTCAACTATTGTGGTTCTCCTTCCGCCACCACTCATGCCGTTGCGACTTCTCGTCGGCCCTGAAGGATTCCCCAGCCGTAAGAATATCCCACTTCCCACCGACCCCCTTCCTCCTCCTCCACTTCCTTCGCCTCCATTCCTTTTCCTAACACATAACTCCTTCTTGTCGCACCCCGAAGCCGGTCGAAAGGGCGAGCCGGGCGTTCCGCCTGGTACTTCCGCCCCATCTATGACCCTGATGCTTAACAATTGACAATGGTTTTGCAAATTGAAAGCGGGTGGTTCTCAACATGTGGCTCTCGCCTTCAGCGCCGCGTACATTCGTTCTTGAAACCAGCAATAGTTTCACGGATTGAGGGCGGGTAATTTTGAACATGTGGCTCTCGCCGTCGTGCCGCGCACATTCGTTCTAACAATTTGCAATCGTTTCGCGGGTTGAGGGCGGCTCGTTTTCAACATGTGGCTCTCGCCTTAGCGCCGTTGCGCTTTCGTTTTAAACAGCTGCAAGCGTTTCACGGATTGGAAGCGGTTCGTTTTCAAAATGTGGCTCTCTCCCTCGCGACGCGCGCATTACTTTTACCAATGTTTAAAAAGCTTCACGTATTGAGGTCGTTTTTTTTTTTTTTTTTGTTTTTTTTTTTTTTTGTAAAAAAAAAGCAAAAAAACGATGTGGCTCTCGCCGTAATGCCGCGAACATTCTTTTAAATAGTTTGCAAGAGTTTCACGGGTTCTCATGGCAAACGTGCCAGAAACGGTGTCTTGAAGCGGTTCAGGGTTGTCAGGGCGCAACCGTTACGTTGATTCGCGGTGTCGAAGTCCCAGGAACGGTGTTCTGGCGCGATTCAGGATAGTCAATACGTAACCGTCAGGTTAACTCGTGGCGTCGAAGTCCTGAGAATGGTGTGTTGGCACACTTCAAGATGTTCACAGTGTTGTCCCCCCACGGGGCAATCTCTCAGTGGAAATGACCCCCGGTAGGGGCTTGTGAAGAGGGATCTTGGAGGGAGGGTGTATTCCAACATCGTTGATGAATCTTGGGTTTACATTGGTCCTCCTCCTCCTCCCTCCACCGCCCGCCCCGTGTCCCGAGCTTGTGGTAGGTTTATCCGCTCGTCGTTGTCGTTGTCGTCGTGGTCGTCGCCGTCGTCCTTCTTGGTCGGCGGCGCCGGCCGTAAGGCCTTCACAGTATCCCACTTCCCGCCGCCCTCCAACCCTGCACTGAGCCATTTTTGTTGTTGCGACGCGTGCGCTGAGCGGTCGTGGCGCTGCGCGGCACCGCCCACCGCCTCGAGAGCCGGTGCTAACCCTGCACTGAGCCACGGAAGGTCGGCGGCGGCGGCGGCCCACGGAGGGTCGGCTGCAGCGGCGGCGACGGCCCACGGAGGGTCGGCAGCGGCGGCGGCGGCGGCGGCGGCCCACGGAGGGTCGGCGGCGGTGGCGGCGCGCCGTGGCGGGGGCGGCCCTCGGCGCGCGGCAGCCATGGCGGGCGGCGCAGGCGCCGAGGCAGGCCGCGGCGGTGGCCTGCGGGCGCGCGCTCGCGCAAGGCGGGCGTCCCTCGTCGCCGTCGTCGTCGTCGTCGTCGTCGTCGTCGTCGTCGTCGTCGTCGTCGTCGTCGTCATCATCGTCGTCGCCGTCGCGGTCGCCGCCGCCGCCGCCGTCGGCCTCGTCGTCGTCGTCGACGTCGTGGTCGTCGTCGTCGTCGTCGTCGTCGTCGTCGTCGTCGTCGACGTCCTCGTCGACGTCGCCACCGTCGCCGTCGTCGCACTCGTCGTCGTCGTCGTCGTCGTCGCCGTCGTCGCAGTCGTCGTCGCCGTCGTCGTCGCAGTCGTCGTCGTCGTCGTCGTCGTCGTCGTCGTCGTCGTCGTCGTCGTCGTCGTCGTCGTCGTCGTCGTCGTCATCGTCGCCGGCGTCGTCGTCGTCGCCGTCGCCACCGCGCCGTCGTCGTCGTCGTCGTCGCCGTCGTTGTCGTCGTCGTCGCCGCCGCCGCCCCCGCAGCCGTCGTCGTCGTCGTCGCCGCCGCCGCCGCCACCGCCGTCGTCTTCGTCGTCGTCATCGTCGTTGTCGTCGTCGCCACCGTCGTCGTCGTCGCGTCGTCGTCGTCCCGTCGTCGTCTCGTCGTCACGCCACCGCCGTCGTCGTCGACGTCGCCACCGTCGTCGTCGCCGCCGCCGCCGACGCCACTGCCGTCGTCGCCGTCGTCGCACTCGTCGTCGTCGTCGTCCTCGTCGTCGTCGTCGTCGTCGTCGTCGTCGTCGTCGTTGTCGTCGTCGTCGTCGTCGTCGTCGTCGTCGTCGTCCTCGTTGTCGTCGTCGTCGTCGAAGTCGCCGCCGCCGCCGTCGTCCTCGTCGTCGTCGTCGTCGCCGCCACCGCCGCCGTCGCCGCCGCCGTCGTCGTCGTCATCGTCGTCCTCGTCCTCGTCGTCGTCGCACTCGTCGTCGTCGTCGTCCTCGTCGTCGTCGTCGTCGTCGTCGTCGTCGCCGTCGCCGTCGTCGTCGTCGTCGTCGTCGTCGTCGTCGTCGTCGTCGTCGTCGGCGTCTCTCCTCTTCCCCTCCTGCTCCCCCTCCTCCTGTCCCTTTTCCGCCCCCCTCCTCCCCCTCCTCTCCCTCATCTCCCTCCTCTCCCTCCTCCCCCTGCTCCTCCGTCTCCTCCTCCGCCCTCGTCCTCCCCTCCCTCCTCCGCCTCCCCCTTGATTGTCGTCCTCCTCCTCTCTGCTTGCTCGCCTCTCCTCCCCGTCCCTCTCCCCTCCTCCCCTCGCGCGCTTCGGGTGCTCGCGCGCCCCCGCCGTCGGGCCGCCCAGCCGGGGGCCTACAGTCATCTCCCGCGGCCAGGCGCCGAGGCGCGGGCTGCCCTGCTCCCTCTTCCCCTCCGCCGTCCTTCTCCTCCGCCTCCCCCTCCTCCCGCTGTGCCGATCCTCCTTCTCCTCCTCGTCCTCGTCCTCCTCGTCGTCGTCCTCCTCCTCCTACTCCTCCTCCCTCTTTCGTCCTCGTCCTCGTCGTCGTGCTCGTCCTGGTCTCCGACCTCGTCCTCGTCGTGGCCCTCCTGCCCGTGCTCGTCCTCGCCCTCCTCCTCCTGGTCGTCCTCCTCGCCCTCCTCCTCCTCGCCCTCGGCAAACCGTTACATGTTCTTGGTCGCAATGGGCCTCCGGAGGCCCCCAGGGTTCGTGATGCGGCGATGCGGGGCGGAGGCAAGACTTACAACATTGCCCTCCTGATCCTCCTCCTTCCCCTCCTCCTCCTCCTCCTCCTCCTCCTCCTCTTCCTCCTCCTACGCCCCCTTTCTCTTCCTCCCTTCTCTTCCTCTTGCTTCTGCTGCTCCTCCTGCTCATCCTCGTTGTGGTCCTCGTCCTGCTCCTCCTCCTCCTCCTTCTTCTTTTCCTCCTCTCTGCTCCTCCTCGTCCTGTTCTCCGCGTGGTGAGGTCTGCCTCCAACCCTCGAGGGTCGAGGGTGGATATTCTTGGATGTTTTCAAGACCCCGCCGCACGCTTTTACTTGTCCTTGGGCCTCTGGAAGCCTCCAGGGGCCGCCGGCGTGTACAGTAGGGGCCCGACCACAAGGCACCGTCCACAAGAGGCCCAACCCTGAGACCCTAGGATGTCCATTGAAATTTTGGTGTGGGAACGTCACGCTTTCCATCGCAAAACCATGGAAACCTAAGAAACCCATGGCACCCTGGAGGCAAGCTGGGTCTCCACTGTATAGAGGGGTCCTGTTCTGTTCTTCCCGTGGAAACTTCTGCGTCGGGCTTCCCGTGAAGCTTTCCAAAGTCTGCCCCCCGCGCCCCAGGGTCAAACGGGCAAGCAGACTCGGGCAGACTAGCGAAGGGCCTCCCGCCCAAATATGGAATGACCTTCCCAAGAACCTGATGTGATTTCTGGGACCTGGGCTTGCGATCAGAACTCCCGGCAGGATTACTTCAGTGAATTCCCCCTCACCTCCCTTTGCCGATTACGCAGCAAACGATGGGACAACTCCTGCAGCCTCAACCGGCCGATAGAAAAGGACAGCCCAGTCGGCAGAGGACACCCCAGTCGGCAGATGGAAGATGATCCAACACATCCCACCAGCCTTCTGGGCGTAGGTGGTCTAGGGAGGCTCCTCTTCCAACCCCCTTCTTCACTGTCGAGGAGGGGTTTATCACTGTTCCATATTCGTGTGCACCCCCTCCCCCACCCAGCCGGCGGCCAACCAAGAACCGTGCTGACTCCATGCCGGCCCGCCCCCCACCATCCCTGTCAACGGACGATACGAACCGCACTCTGCCTCCACATTTGGAGCATGCGCGGCCAACCCGATGCGGCCCTACCCACCATCGCTATCAAAAACAATGCACAGTACACTTTGGGGCAAAGTCTTGAATCATGTTCGTGAGGCCCGCGAGCACTTTGTACCTTTGTTTTCTTTTGGCAGGGACGGCGGGGGTGTCACCACATTCCCTGCTGTGCGCAGGGCTATCATCCATGACACAAAACAATACAACATGCACCTCGCGGCTAAATCTGGATCATGCGCGGCCATCCCGCGATCACTGGTTTTCGACAAGGATGGCGGGGGCCGACATGTTTCCCGATGTGTGCTGTCACGTGCGCAGGCGCACCTGACGCACTTTGCACGTGTCCCGAACGTGGCGCACCTGGCGCGGCTGGAGTGTGCGGCACACCTGGCGCACTCGGAGCACGTGGCGCATCTGGCGCACCAGGCGTGCCTGGCACGCTGGGGTCCCAGGGGTGCCTGGCGCGCGTGGCGCCCCTGGCACGCGTGGCGCACCTCGCCCAAGCGTCGCGCACCTGTGGCCGGCTTTGGTCCCCAGTAAGTGCCCATCCAAAGACGACCGCTGAGCATGCTCAGGCTCGGGTGTTACTCATGTGTTGGGAGGGCGAGTGGGAGTGAGCTAGACGGCTTTCGGGCAGGGGGGTAGCTTGACCTCCCCCTACCGCCTCCCCTACACCTGGACAGGGGTGCCACGAGGTGTTGGAGCGTCCAAGACGGCCCAAGACGGCTCCAAGAGGGCCCCTGAGAGTCCAATGTGAGCTCCAAGATGGCTCAAGATAGCGCACGATGCCTCAAGATGGCTCCCAAGATGCTCCAGGAGGCCCCAAGAACGTTCCAAGACGGCTCCAAGATGTGTCCGAGACCTCCAAGGAGGCCCCCTAAGAAGCCAACGCTTCAAACATCGTAGGAAAATCAATGATGCTTGCTTTCTCGCCTTTTCGCTTCCGATGGCCATCCGAGGCCTCAAGATGGCTCCAAGATGGCCCAAGAGAGCTCCAGGAGAGGCCCAGAAGAGCCCCACGACGGCCATCAGAGCGCCCCAAGAGCGCTCCAAGAGGGGTCCAGGAGGCGATTTTCGGTGCTCCCGATGGGGGAGAGTTAATTATTGGAGCTCCCCTCTTTTTTGATCGATGTCCTCCAAGATGGCCCCAAGAGCGCCCCTGAAGCTCTCAAGAGAGCCCCGAGAGGGCTCGAAGAGGCGCCCAGACGGCCCCAAGAGGCCTCCAAGAGGGCCCCAAGAGACCCCGTACGAGGCCTCAAGAGGATCCCCGAGGTACCCAACTCTCCCTCCTTCTCCTCCTTCTCCTCCTTTTCGTCCTCGCCCTACTCCTCCTCCTCCTCCTCCTCCTCCTCCTCCTCCTCCTCCTCCTCCTCCTCCTCCTCCTCCTCCTCCTCCCCCTCTGACGACGACGGCGACGATTCCTTCTCCATACTCCCCCTCTCGGGGTATATGACCGCTTCCCCGCCCTTCGTTCTTCCGCATGCTCCCGCACTTCCCTGATCACCTCAACTCCCCTGGGCATCGTTTCTGGATGGGCTTGTGGGGATACTTTTTTCCGTCGCGGCCGCAGGCGGACGCGCCAGCGGCGTCGGAGGGCTTGTGGGGATACTTTTTGTAATCAGCGGCCGCGGGCGAGCGCGCCAGCGGCGAGTCCAGTCAAAGCGGGGCACGCAGCGACGAATTAACCTAAGGCGACGGAGGGTGGCAACACCTACAGCGGCTAACCGAGCCCTCACGCAGCAGCCCAGCGGCGGACCGGCGAGTGGAGGGGCAGCTGAAACTGAGTCGTACTGCCAGCGTGCAAGTATGCAAAGCGTCGGGGCTCCAGGGAGTCGGGACACACGACGACCCGGGCCAGAAGCCGAAATTAATGCAAGGACGCAACCCCGGACAACGGCGTGAGTACCAGGGTGGCCCGAAGGACCGTCGGTCAAAGAATTAAAGCCAGGAGGCGCTTGTGGGGATACGCGAAACGTCAACAATTGGGAAGCGATGGGTTGGAGGGGTAGGATGTCGGATGTGGCGCTAGAGCACCTAGCTTGGCCTTTACTCCTCTCCCCCTCACCTCATCCTTGTCTTCGTCCTCCTCCTTCTCCTCCTTCTCCTCCTCCCCTTCACCCTGCTGCGCTTCTCAACTTCCTCCGCCGACACCGCCGTTGCCGCCGACGACGACGATGACGAAGGCGACGACGGCGATGACCACGGCGACGCCGACGCCCACCCTGCCGCCGCCGACGACGGCCACCCTGACGACGCCCTCCGCCTCCGGC